TGCGAAAGGATGTCGCAACCTATGTCGCAAAATGTACCATATGCCAACAGACCAAATACGACCAGCAACTCCCTGCTGGTGTGATGGGCAGCAGACGTGCTGTTGATTCTCCTTGGCAAATGATCGCTGCAGATTTGATCGGACCACTACCAAGATCTCTAAAAGGTTTTAAATACCTGTTGGTTGTGACTGACACCTTCACCAAGTACACTATCCTTCGGCCTCTCCGAGCTGCTACTGCGAAACTTGTATCACAACATTTGGAGGAAGACGTCTTTCTGTTTTATGGGGTGCCACGATACCTCATCTGCGACAACGGTTCGGAGTTTATTGGGGCACCAGTTAAAGACCTAGCTAGGCAGTACAAAGTGAAAATTCTTCTAAATGCCAGCCGACACCCTCAGGCTAATCCAGCAGAAAGAGTAAATCGGGATGTTGTCACTATGCTGCGAGCGTATGCCTCAGAAAATCACAGGGAATGGGACAAGTTTATCCCAAAGATAGGATTTGCCCTTCGCACGGCTCATCATGAGGTGACTAAACATTCACCAGCATTTTTGAACTTCGGGCGGGAACTCGCTACTTCTGGGGAAGGATTTGAAGTTCTTAATGGTGGTTCGGATGTACCCCCACTTGAAGATTTAGAACCCTTGGGTGGAAAATTGCAGGAGCTTAAAGACATCCATCAAGAGGTTTCGAACAGACTGAAGGCTGCACACGAACAGAATTCTAAACGCTACAACCTACGAAGGAGAAATGTGACTTATAAAGTAGGGGATATAGTCTTGAAGCGGAACTTTATACAATCAGATGCTGCTAACTATTTACTATAAGTTGGCACCACGATATGTGGGTCCCTATGTTATAGCAGAACAGATTTCTCCATTAGTGTACACGTTAGCGGACATGGACGGCAAGAAGATTGGCAGATGGCATGTGACGGACTTCAAGAAATATCAACAGTGAAGAAAATTTGGGAAATTTTCTGGAGGAAAGGGGGTGTTTGTGACATTGACTTTCTGTTTTACCAATGCAATAGTTATGTAGAACTGATCACTCTACATGACATGATTAGACAGCCAAATGAAAAAGCGCGCTTTCATTGTTGCAACAATAACAGAGGAATCAGAGTTGAACACCAGCTGTAACTGTTGATTTGAGGCTCAGCCACGGCTACCGTGAGCGATAAGGAAGCTACATAACCTTTGACCGTCAAGCGTTGTCCAGTCGACATTGGAAGTAGAGAGTCTGCTACATTAAGTAGTAGTAGAGAGAGAGAGACGAGAGCGTGCACGAGACTTCAGGTAGAGAGCCGTAACCGACATCAAGCCCTTCAGCATCGCTGGATTTTTGTGAGCCTAATTTGGAATTTGGCTAAGGTGAGCCGCTACCATGTTATAAAAATGTTATACTTGAGTTTCATGAGTAGTACAGCTAATTTTGCCTAATCATTAATATTGAAGTATTTAATAAAACTAAACTAAGCCTTGGGCATAGAATGAGATTGTCAGAACTTGTGAGCAAACATTTAATTAAATACAACGAGATACTAATTAATGGTTTTACACTAAGTAAAACAGAAGTAATTAGTTTAGAACCTTCTAACTGAAAAAGTGCTAAGGTTAACAAACAAACAAAATGTAAATATTAGTTAGTATTTTAAATGTAAATATTAGAATGAACTTTATGCATGTTGTTGCCATGATATTTATATTGCTATTTTAACCGTGCTAGAATAATTAATCTTGCAAAACTGACTACACAAAACAAAAGGCAAACAAAGGGACAAAATGTACTAAACCTTTTTGTTCTGCTAACATTATAATAAAGCAAGATATAGCGTAGTCATTGAACTGATTGTGGATAGCTATTTTTTTATAAAATGTTAATATGAGGTTGAGGTGTAAATATGATTTGTGAACCACGTTGATAAATTATTTATTGTAGGCTATTTACTTAATCTCTCAATATGTACAGCATGTTATTTAATGATGTTATTTAATTATAAACCCATTCTTAGGTATTATTATTGTTCTAGAGTGTAATGAGTAATTTCAGGCAAAGCTAGAGTAACAATTGTCAGTCTTACTGATACCTAGCCTATTGAGTTATTACATATTACACCCTAACATTGGTTATTCACTTTAAAGTACAGTATTTATCACTGTGCACTAGGTTCTCATTAGAAACTGAGCAAGAGTGTTTTGTAAACTATTAATAAATAATGTATTCAGATATAAGCTGATTACTAAAGTGTCAGTAATACTTAAGCTGCGACTGGATAAGAAATACAAATAGGCTATTGTGTGGAACTGTATATAATATATTGGTAGCCTATTTAATTTATATTGTTGGAGTAAAGACTATTCTGGAGTGATTTTGTTTTAAGGGCTTTTTCCCTGGACCTGCGTCTTGGCATTGACTGGTGACCTTGCTGATCCACGAGTGTGATCGTCTGCAGGACTGTTGGACCATTGCGGGTGTCAGCACCGTTGTTTGCACCTAGAGGACATTACGCGCGGGTCACACTTGCGCTGTGATATTCGGTTGTGGACCGTACACGGACAATACGTCCTTTGTGTGTCGTTGTCGGTGCTTCTATTCGGTGAGTAGACTTTCATTTTCACACCCTTTGAATCACCCCGGACGGCCGGGCGGCATCGGTCACTATCAAGTGGAACCTGTGACCTTGGACTCTGGCAAGATAAGGAATTGGAGTGAATGACTAATTATATCCAGTTCTGAGCCCTGAGATAGAAATATTTATTGTCTTGTTTAACTCCTGAATTGAAGCTAGCTATTAGGTGTATTTATATTTATGCATAAGGGTATGTGTTTGTTATATTTTTAGAATAAGTTATTATATTTAAATTAAGTTACTATTGGAGTGTTCCTAGGGACTTGATTTGGTAATTAACAGAACTGGCCAGTATTTAATTTATGAGTATTTATTTGCACGAATCTCACTAAGTGAGCTATTTATCACTATCCTAATTGCTCTCCTTCACTTGTAGTATTTAAGATCTTAGCTGTGGAAGAGAAATAGGCAATACAAGTGTATACAATTCAACATATGGTCTTTATTTGTGTTTACCTAGTAGTATCGCAGGTTATTGTCTAGATAATTTGTAATCTGATTGATTACTGAGTTGTCAATTACGAAATAATAATTTGTTTGGTTTATGAGTTTGGGTGGTTAAATAATTTAAAGGTATATTGCTAATCCAAGTGCTTAAGGCCTAGTTTTTGCAAAGTCAGATTAAACTTTTGAGTGCATGGTAGTGGGCTCACTTGATGATACCTTAGGGCAGGAAAACATTCCTTGTTGGAGTCCTGCAACTGATCCATCCTAACAACAAGGTGGCGCCCTCTCTCGAGCAAATCCCGACCAACTTGGTAACAATTCAAGGGTGACCCGCTATCAGTAATCCAGACTTGGATGAGCTACGAATTTCCCCCACCACTCACGCCCTTCTCCACTGAGCTAGGCTATCAAAAGTGATATCTCAGGTGCCAAGGTGGCAACATACTGTTATTCGTCTTAATAATCTATATTTAGTTAGTTATGAATTATTATCTATATTTACTACACAACCACTGATACACCACCCTCCACCTCTCTTCTACCCATTAATCTTTCATCTGTGTTTAATACATTATCCCAGAAAAGATAAGTTTCTCGTTCATTTTTGTACATAACCCTGAAGATTTAGTTCCAAGCAAGACAAAATTCATAAAATTTAGAAAACTTATACGACTATTTTTTATATTTTCCTACACATTTCCTTACTTCCCATTTAAATTAACACTCATTGCAACACGAGTCTACGCACAAGCCTATACTAGTCCAGATGGTCTTATGTAGAAGTTTTCCTTGGTTAAAAAAATGTATTTTCTTTTACATTATTTTTTCCATTTATACTACAGGATATAAATGTTTGTTCTATATTCAGTAATGTTTGCTGTATTACAATTAAGTAAAAAAATATCGCAATAATACATAATACAATTAATTGGAAATAAAAAAGTATTTCATTGCAGTTGCTCAGCTAAACTTTGCTTTCGATATTTCTTTATAGGTAAAATTTTATTTATATTTATTTTATTTTATAGGGAACTAATTTTATCTACAAATGAATCCTTTTTTGTTGATTACTATTCAAATAAAGAAATCATAAACTACAGTTTACAGTTGTCATTCTGAGTGAAGATAAGCAGTGAGGAAAGTAGTGAGCTAAGTGAAATGATAAGGAATCAGCTGTTTTGCAAACTAAATCTGGTGAACTGAGTACTTCAAGTAAATACACTCTGAAACATTCTTGAAATGCCACTTAAATTATTAAAGTTTAGATATATGGAAATCGTATCCGTCCAAGGTTAATTAATAATATCAGAAATATGGCTTAATAATGTATATTTTAGCACAGTATCATTTGGTCAAGATACAGGATAAATATGTATGACGTTAATTTACTAATTTTTGGTTTAGAAATAAAACACGTTAGAAAACCAAATTGAATAGAGCTGTATAATTTTAAATATATTCGTAAACATTTATATAATTTAATGCATCCAATTTTTGCAGTCTTTTTTTTAATGAGTTACTAACAACAATCATACTATTAATTTAAGCATAGGAGGGGTACGGAAGAAACGATCGAGCGAAAGATGCAGAAGGTCCTTTCAACCTTGGGGAAGGAACGTCACGTGGGGCAAGTGGAGCCAGCAGAGCTCCATCGGGGGGCTCAAAACCCGAGGAACCTGCAGCTGGCGAAAACTCCACTCCTGGTGCGGGTCTCCCTTGAGGAAACGCAGGTATGAATTCAAACTGTCTTGGAGCATCGGAAGCCAGGGGGCGAACCGTCAAGACGGACGAAGAACCTCCTTCTGCTCTAGCTGGAGGACCATATTCAGGGGCAGGTGAAGGAGGTGGTGGTGGAGGGGCGTATTCTCCAGCTTGAGCCTGAGCTCCTGCAAAATTCCCTGCAGGAGGTCCATATTCAGGGGTGGGTGGGGGTGGTGGTGGGGGTGGTGGTGGTGGGGGTGGAGGTGGTGGAGGTGGAGGTGGAGGAGGAGGTGGTGGTGCATATTCTCCTGCTTGGGCTTGGGCGCCAGCAAAATTAGCAGCTGGTTGGGCAGGTGGGCCATATTCAGGCGTTGGTGCGGGAGGTGGTGGGGGTGGAGGAGGAGGTGGTGCTGGTGCAGCTGGTGGTGGAGGTGGAGGAGGTGCATATTGTCCTACTTGGGCTTGGGCACCTGCGAAATTGGCAGCTGGTTGGGCTGGTGGACCATATTCAGCCGTTGGAGCGGGAGGTGGTGGGGGTGGAGGAGGAGGTGGTGCTGGTGCAGCTGGTGGTGGCGGTGGTGGAGGTGGGGGTGCAGGAGGTGCATATTGTCCTACTTGAGCTTGGGCGCCTGCAAAATTACCAGCTGGTTGGGCAGGTGGACCATATTCAGGCGTTGGAGCGGGAGGTGGTGCTGGTGCTGGGGAAAATTCCCCAGCTTGGGCCTGTGCGCCTGCAATGTTACCTGCAGGAGGTCCATATTCAGGAGTAGGAGGGGTTGGTGGTGGTGGAGGTGGTGGTGGAGATGGAGGTGCATAAGCCCCGCCTAAGGCCTGAGCTCCCGCAAAACTATTCACTTCTTCGGTTGGAATTCCATAGGTCCTAGCAGGAGAAGCGATTCTCAAAGATCTTCCAGGGAACGAGGTCTGTGCTTGTGAGATGCCAGCTGGTGCTGATGATGGAGGGGGCGGGGCAAACGTAGGAGGAGCGAACCGTTGAGAGATACCGGCCGGGGCTGACTGTACTGGGGGAGTCTCGGCGCGGATGCTCGGAGGAATTACTCTCTGCAAAATTTGCTGATTGGCGTCATTTCTTCTTCCTAATTGGCGAGAAGGTCGGACAGCCGTGGGTTGCGGTTGAGGTTGAGGCTGAGTGTACTGAAAATAATATCAACATTTTAATAAGTAAAAGGACAACAAATGAAATAGTGACATTGCGACTTTTAACTAATCTAGAATGATATTATTATAACAAAAAAGTATTATTTTAACTTCGTTACAGTTGAAACTATCTGTTGCAGTATAAATCAAATACATATGTGAAATCTGACGCATTTTTTAAGGCCAGAGCGTCAGATATTTAAAGATAACTCATAGAGGAGTTTTTCGGAAGAGTTGTATAAAAATTACAATAACACTCGACACGACTAACGCCATCTTTTTTTGTCTTAGTTCTTAAAATCCAGGTTTGAAACCAACATACTAGGATACGATTACGTATTTTAAGTTTATTTTATTTTAAAACCCGTCTACTTTTTCACTTTGTGTAAGTAACCAATCAAAGCACTTACGTAAACAGTAGTAGGGGCGGCCTGAGCTACAGCTGCGGCGTTTCCTGAGGTGTAAGTGTAAGTCTGAGGGGCGAATCCTGGCCTGGAGCTGGAGAATGATGATGACACTCCTCTCTTAGGCCTCGTGGCTTGTTGGGACTGGTAATACTGCAACACGATTACACAGTGTCTATTACCTTGTACCTCGCTCTATAAGACACCTAGTAGATATTTTCAACACAATGTTGATTCTACATTATCACATTATCTACACTCTTTACATTATTCTATACTATCTACACAGTGCGCCAGGTGTATTTGTGATACGCCAACAATGACAATTTATAATCAAAATGGTCTGGAAGCACGTCTATATTGCGGCGGGATGCGGGACTACTGCTTTCAGAGCAGTCTCCTGTCTTGCTGCTAGGGAAATCCCCGTACAATGTGTGTTAGGTTGGTGACGATAAACGCAGCCGCATCAACAATAGAATTTGGCAGCTAGGAAAACTGGCGTGAAAAAACTTAGTTTGAAAGAAAAATTGACGTTGAAATTTAGACATCCCATCTACATTATGAACTCTTGCTTCTCTTCTCCTTAATCTTGAAAACCAGGATTTTCTTCGTAGTTTAAAAGGGTACGAGAGGTGGTTGTTGGTTGATTTCATTTAGGTTGTTGTACTCCTAGACCCTCGCTAGTGGCTAGTAGACCCTGGGGCAGGTGTTAAAAAGCATGAAGACGGGATATACCAGTACTAAACTGACAATGCATAGCATTTTTATATTTTAAAACTGCAGCATAAGCTTCGATTAAAAGTAATAATAATTTTAAGGATTATTATTCGTGTTTTATTTTTCGGGATCAGACACGGAGCACACAATATGCTGAAGTTATCATTTAGTTCTTTTAGGGTTCTAATTTCCTATTGTTTTGCAGTGGTGGTCCCAGAATTTCATTTCCGGGGGGATGACTAGTGGGGGATATGTAAGTTTCCCCCCTCCCAAAAAAAGGAGTCCGGAGGCCCCGCCCCCCGGAAAATGTTGAATTGAAAGCCTAAAAATGTTTTTTTATATGAATTTGAGCTCTTAAATATTCTCAATCAAATAATATTTATGTTAGCTAAAAAAATATAAAATATGTCGGGGGAGGATATATCCCTCCCCATCCCACCCTGGGACCACCATAGTCCAAAACGATATAGTCTTCTGGCAAACTATAATAGTTTTTGTTGCCAGTACCTGCTGATAGTAAGCCTGCTGAGCTGGCGTGAGTGGCGGAGAGGGAGTGTTAGCTACAGCGGCTGCAGTACCTTGACCACTAGTGTAGGTGTAGGTTTGAGGTTGAGCTCCTCCTACAGAAGTGGAGCTTGAGCTCGAGAATGAGAAGCTCTTGCCGTCAGTAGCTCGTTTCAAACGGAGCCCAAACACCTTTAAAGGCTTATCTTTCAGTATATGAATAGTCTTACAGTAAAAGAAATTGGTAAGGTACGATTAATTTTTAATGGATATAATTTTACACAAGGACATGATTCTGTGTCATAATATGATAGATTTTCGTAAATTTGACTTTGTCTATGAATTATTATGGTATGGGAATTGAAGGTTTTGTGCGGTCACCAGATCGCATTGTTGTCGATATATTAACCAGGTCGTTGGATAAAATAGTCACATGATGAATGCCACTAAATATGAAGTATTTTGTGTATGAACAGTACTTTCAAGATTTTGGAATAAATACAGTAAATTTAGTTATATTAGTAAATATTATAATTGTAGATTAGCTCGTTAGACTACTTAAGGACAGAATGACTATGCTGTCCTTAAATACAACCATGATACGGGAAATGTAAACCACTTTTGTTATAATTCCCATATTAGATGAGATAATATAGGTATTCTTTCTTACTCTCTGACCAATTATAGTCACAGATACTGTGGTAAAAAATTACGTTATTAAACCTTATTTCCTTACTTTCTCTACATTGTGGTTTATCAAAATAGTATAAGGTATAGTTAGGTTATAAGTAAGGTTAGGTTATAAATAGTAAGGTTATAGTATAAGGTTTGTTTCAAATTTTACATAATTGCCTGATTTTCTTATTAAAGAAATCACTTTTTGATATCATAGCACAAATAACATACTAAGCTAATTACATATTTCACTTACAGTGGAGGGGAATATCTGCGAGAAACCCCCAAACCTGTTGTCTATTCCGTTGTCGGAAGCTGTTGCTGTGGCTTGGGCATTCCCGGAGGTTCTTGTGTAGGTTACTGGAGCTTGTCCACCATAGGAGACTGAAGAGGAAGATGAGGACGACTGGGCATCTACAGCCACAGTCACCACACAAAACACACACACCACCTACAATAATACAAGTGTGTATACAGGGTGGCTGAAAAGTAACTTGCACCCCCCTTAACTTTTCAACCTTTTGAAATATTCGAAATCTGTTTGTGGAAACCTTCTTAGATATGAGAGGCTCCAAAAATTATGGTAATTTCTTTATAATAATAATATCTAAGTTCTTACCGTCAACGCAATCAGGAGTAATATTCCACTACGGCCGTTTCGGAGATGACTCCATCGTCAGGTGCGTAGTGGTACACTAAACTATAGTCTTGTCACATTTAACACGAGTTTTCTTCATTTGCATTGCGTCATGGGGTGAATAAATAATACACATATATGTACAGGACGGACACACGAAAACACGAATACACGAAAACATTTAGAGCACGTGCACGGCTTGAAAACTGACGACCGACTCAATAACATTCGTAATTATAGGTGTCGGTCGTCAGTTTTCAAGCCGTGCACGTGCTCTAAATGTTTTCGTGTATTCGTGTTTTCATGTGTCCGTCCTGTACATATATGTGTATTATTTATTCACCCCATGACGCAATGCAAAATAAGAAAACTCGTGTTAAATGTGACAAGACTATAGTTTAGTGTACCACTACGCACCTGACGATGGAGTCATCTCCGAAACGGCCGTAGTGGAATATTACTCCTGATTGCGTTGACGGTAAGAACTTAGATATTATTATTATATTTTCACGCAATCTGCCACACTCAAGAATATAATTTCTTTATGTTCCCCTTAGGGGTAGTGGAAGTAAGTGGTATATCAAAATTTGAAATAGGAAGCATGATCGAGTTTGGTATCATTTTACCAAACAATACTATACGTGCCTTTGCAAATTTTTAGCTATCTCCCACCCCCGCAGGATAAAATTTTCAAAATTAACCATTATTATTTTAGCCCCTCATATCTATAACTAGGTTGTGGCCCGTCATAACTAGATTTAAACCGATTTCAAATATCTCAAATAGTTCAAAATTTAAGGGGGGTGCAAGTTATTTTTCAACCACCCTCATGGTTATTTGGATTTAAAACGTTTTTAGGGTGCCATTTCGTTATTAGTGGTCTGATTTAGGTTTTCTTAAAAAACAAAAAAATAGAAAAGAAATATTAAAATAGAAGCTTTAAAATAGTAAAGACAGCAGAACATTGTACGAGAAGCAGGAACATGATAAGAAGTAATATGTAAAATTCGACATTGAGTATGATTTAAGAGTCCCACTACCTAAAATCGTACAAATGGTAAAACAGAATCACAGTGAATAGGAAAAGAAGCATAAAATGGAAGAGGATCTTTGAGCATCCGCCATAGCAGTCACGTAGCTATCCGGAAAAGGTGTAGGAGGAAAAAGTAATCATCCATCTTGTTTTCAGGGTCATCAAATTCCTTTCTGTGGTGTCATTTTGTAAAAGAAATATTACAATTTCAAGCAAAGTCCATTACTTTGATTTTTTTTAAGGGTGCACCTGCTAAATACTAGCACATGTATTGGTATGATTTGTCTTTTTCAATCTAAACAGACCTAAAGATGGCAAGAAAAACTTAGAAAATTGTGGCTCTAAAATTTTGACGACTGCATTACTACAGCGGTGAAAAATGAATATAATTTTATACAGTGTGTAAATTAAGTATTGAAACAAATCTGTATTTTTAAAACCAAAATAGATAGAAATATTCTGTTTGTGTAAATAATTGTTAACAAAGGTTCCAAAATTTTTCACATCAAAAATATTTTTTCACCCCCCTAACAGGGTAGGTGGTAGGGGGTGACTTATTTTTTTCAAATAGCAACCCCTATTGAGTGACCCCTCATTTTGAAGGGTTTGTCAAAGGAAACACAATGATGCAAATCCGAGGTGAATATCTCTCTCCTAGCCCAAATGGCGGATATTCCAAAATTTGATTTACTGTACGTGAAAAGCACCAATTTCACAAATAATGGAAAGAAATCTGTATTTTTAAAACCAAAATCGATAGAAATATTCTGTTTGTGGAATTGATTGTTGACATAGGTTCCTTAATTTTTTTAATTAACAATATTTTTTCAACCCTTTTAACAGGGTAGGGGTGACTTATTTTTTTCAACAACAACCCCTATTGAGTGACCCCTCATTTTGAAGGGTTTGTTAAAAGAAAAAGAATGACGCAAACTCGAGGTAGATATTTCACCCCGAGCCTAAATGGCGGGTGGTGAAAAATTTAATTTTTGTAAAAAAGCACCCATTTTGGAATATCCGCTATTTGGGCTAGGAGAGAGATATTCACCTCGGATTTGCATCATTGTGTTTCTTTTGACAAACCCTTCAAAATGAGGGGTCACTCAATAGGAGTTGCTATTTGAAAAAAATAAGTCACCCCCTACCACCTACCCTGTTGGGGGGTGAAAAAATATTTTTGATGTGAAAAATTTCGGAACCTTTGTTAACAATTATTTACACAAACAGAATATTTATATCTATTTTGGTTTTAAAAATACAGATTTGTTTCAATACTTAATTTACACACTGTATAATGTTTGCACACAACGCACCGTTATATTTGAAATGTTATGATATTAAAAATATGTTGCATTTGCGTCAGTAATGCAACTATCCAAATTCAAAAGACGTATCCTTTTCACTTTCTATTTTAAAATACTACTTGGGAACTCATAGCTTTACGAGACTGGTTATTATCGTAATCAGGAAAAAATGTTCTACATTTTATGTATCTAAATCAGAATACAAATCATTGCTCAGCTTACGTTAGAGCAATAAATAAATATGGCCAAACAAAATACATTGATTCCTTGAAACTAACTTGATTGTGTATTTTAAACGGTCAGACTTCCCCATTTTAAACTTATTTCCTTATTGAACCTTTGAAGAATGTTAACAATTGTTTTTGTGTTGAATATTTTATACAAAATAGAGATTAAAATTAAAGTTTTAAATTTCTATGGAAATAGTTAATCTTGAGTGAAAAAGAACAACGTCCATAAATTCATTTTAGATCAAACTGCTTTTCTCTTAACACTGTAGGCTATATGATAAAACACGAAAGGTCTTACCTCTTATCAATATGTTTGAACAGATTTCCTTTCCTCTGTCCCTCTATAATGTTAGTATAAACTTACAAAAAGGCAAATTTGACTAGACCCATTCAAAAATTTTATATTCCGTTATTTCCATTATTTTACTTAGAAATTACTTTCCCTACTGATATCCAGTACCTAATCCCTAGATCGATTGTCATATAACGAAAGACAACATTCGCCCAAAGAACAATGAATCTTAAAATCAATCGATGTGTTACAAACTACACAATCCGATCTTTTATCTCAGAAGCTTAAAAATGTTTAAACCAGTTATCACTTAACTTACCCAAGCTACCGCCATGATGGTGGTCTCAAGACTGTTAAGCTGTCAACCCTCTAGCTCACCATTAAGATTGCTGTTTTGTGGTAAACACCAACAGGATAAGTTCCTGCTGCAAATAGGTTGAATGATTCACAAAGTCTCACGTCTGAAGATATCGCCTCTGGCGAGACATTCATATTTTGACCAGCTGTCTGCTTTATAATTTACAAAATGCTTCCATAAACTAAAAGAATTGCATAGTATATTTATGGAACTATTAAATAAGTATTTTCGTAACTAGTAATTTTATATAAGTTTTGTCTGTAATGTGGCCTAGAAGATTTTAAAGTTTACAAAGTAGAAACATCTTGAAGGGAAAATCACAATGAAGACGAAAACCTCAGATAACTTCAATCACTATCATATAATGTTAGAGTTTGTATGTTATTTTTATTTAATTTCAGTGGCAATCGTGGTTTAAAAGCCTCAAGTTATGCCAAAATTAAAACTTTTAAATTCTTCATAAACGTTAAAAAAAACTGTGATATATACACTATCATAAAAAGTAAAAAAATTGCAATTTAGATCTGATCATGCCATAATAAAAAGGTTTATAAAACAGGCCTCTTTTGTAACATGGGACCTTTCAATGAAAAATGTGCATAGTTCAAAATATTCATAGTATGATTCATAATCTTAACTGTAAAACGTTCTAATTGACAACAAAACGTTCATTGTTGTGGCCTTAAACATTCGGAGTCCGGGACACAGATTTTGTTTTCACAGAAAAGTACAGTCACTTTTTATTTAGGATGTGTTTATCTCTCGGGTTTCTTTTTTGTGTAACCAATTGACTTTGAAAAATGGCACTCGAATGCACATGACGGATGTGATTAATGATTTGAACATTGTATGTAACTAATAGTGTATATTATATTAGGAGAGAACAGGTACAGAAGCCACAATTCATCAGTTAAAGTCGGCCAAAGGGCATTTACATTAATTGCCAAATTTGTATTCTTCAGCTATTTTTATATGCACCATTTTCATATGAAAATACAGAGAGTATAACACAATACCTTGTTAAAACCATACGCCTTTCCTTAACAGTAGTCATTTACACTGAATTAACATCTATTATAGTAACAGTAAGGATCTTTTTTAAAGAGTTTCACATCTTAATTTTTCTCTTTTATTATTTTAATCATATATACATCATCACATAAGTGACACTTCTTCTGCATGAAAAGATCTATACTGCATTACCGACGTGAAGACAGTACATGGTACCCAGAACCGTCAGCAACGTAGTTCTGGACGATCCTCTTGCCCTCAGGGGACGTCCAGGAGACTTGTCCTCTGACTCTGTTAAGAGCGTGTCCATCCTTTACTCTGGGGTCCACGTAGGTCTCCAATTGTTCAGAGCGAGTTGTTCCGTCAGGAGCTGTGTAGCTGTAAAATAAGCTTAAATTTGAAAATAAATCCCCTATTAGGCTCAAATAGCACAACCCTCATCTCTTTTTAGTATGTAAATTACTTGTTATTTCCCATCTTATTTAGTTAATGGTTAGTTAATACTTATACTTAAGCTGTAATAAGGAGTAATATAGTTCAAAATTAGAAGTAAACCCATATTAACTTGTTTTATAATATTTTATTTTTTATTTAGATAAGGTAGCTGAAAGTAATGTTTCTTATTTTAACAAACGTATTTCCTATTCGCATGCTAAAGAACAGTATTTCCCATTCGTATTTCCCATGATAAAGAATACACCAAATGTATTTTCTTTTTCATCTAAAAACATGTTTTTTCAAAAGTGTAAACCATTTAACCAAAACCCTGCAGTTATTAAAAACTAAATAATTTTTACTTACTGATGACAATGTAAAGTAAAATAATCGGAGTAAAAACACACAGGTAAAAATATTTGTTACATATAACCACTATCTTTACGTTATAAACCCACTGTCTCAGGCTCTAAGCTATCTTCATAATACCGAAGAGTATTTTGTAACCTCATTTGTTTCATTGCATTGGAGTTTTTTGCCTTCAAACTCTCTGCAGTTTTGGAGATGCTACAAAACAATTTATGGCAAAAGTTTCTTTTCAACAAGGTGGGATCCTGAAAGGTATCGTACAATTTGTTTCCTGAAAATGGTTTTCTTTTGTTCTGGTTTCGTAAGTGTTTTTCAGCTTTTTATTACGTAGTTCACAAATTTATATACTGTAGTGCTATAAAATTAAACACCTTAAACTACTTTCTTTATTTGCAAAAATGTTTAGTTATCATAGTATCAGAGTGTATTTTAATGAACTACTTGAGGGTTTTAGTAATGGTTTTTGCTTTTATTATACTTAAACGACATAAAGGAATAGTTAAAAATGTTTTTGTTGTATACTTGCAATACAGCTATGTGTAATATGGAAAACCAAGCTCTGTTAATTTCTTAGTAAATGAGTTTTATAAATACATTTTGGTACATTTTAAAACTGACGCAATGTCAATTACGACTATCAAATCCCTTTCGCACCCCTGCTTAGCTTTGTGTAACAATTCAAAGGTCACAAACCGCAATCTTAGAAGAGCTGGCCATACTCGTCACTAATCATACCAAATTAAACTTGTTCGACCACGCGTTAAAGTCACTTGACATTGGTAATCGAAAACTCGTTAGAAAGACTGGGTAAGTGGGGCAACTTCTGGGTGTACACGTGAAATGCCCCACACACGAACTAGGCTTTGCTCTAATGGCCCATGATTGCTGTAGTCGCCGCAAGATGCCACTGGTGTTCGTGAACTATAGCGAGACTATCTAAATTTATCTCCAAGGAATACGTGACCGATTAAGTCTCCTCTGAGGTTGTGAACTTCGCATATTGCATTTATAAATGTTGAAAGTACTAGTGAGGTGGTTTGATTTGCTGTTTCATCAGTAAGTATAAGTATTTGTTTTAAAATATAAAAATAAAGGGTACTTTTAGCGAATTTCCCTATAGGGAAGTAGCTATTACCGTAGGTGGCACGGTAAGACCTAGACCCGGGACCGATTTACTTTTTAATTTTGATGTCCCCAGAGGCCAAAAACACTATTCGTTCAAATTTTTATATATATATATATATATATATATATATAGACTTATATATATATATATATATATATATATATATATACGTCCGTGAACGCGATAACTTGAGTAATTTTTGTCCGATTTTGATGAAATTTGGTTTAAAGGTGTAAAGCGGGATAAACTTGAATGAGTTCGCGAACCAGCACGATCGGACCATGGGAACGGGGCTTTACGGGGGGTTTTATGGGGTAAAAATTGGTTTTTCTCACTTTTGACCCTCAAAACACACAATTTCCCAATTTCTCTTTAGACCTTTTTAAAGAGCTTAAAAAAATAAATAATTTAGTATATAAAAGTATTTTTGTTCGATTATTAGTAACAGAGAAAATTAAAAAAATTTTAAATTTAAAATTCCCATGTTATACTTATGGAGAATATTGTCAAATGTTGTAGTTTGCTTGTTTATGAATATATTTTGATCAAACTTGGCAAATTTATTTATTTTGTACTAAGCTATCAATATTTTACTCAAAAACACACTTTATTAGTTTCCTTGTAACAGCAAACCTATGTACTCGTTAAACCTAATGTTATTAAAATATATTTAACTGAAAATCAATTCAGACAAATGAAAATTCGCTTAGTCGGCAGGTTTGCTGCGGCGGGGGTATTTTGTAAATTGCAACTCACAAATTCACCTGTTTCCTAGCACTTGTTTGACTTGTTATCGAAATGTACAAGTTCTCATAAAACCCTGGAAATATTGCTAATAAGATTCTGAGATGAGTATTTTCTTGGTCTCTTTTTCATTTTTCTAGTCTATTTCCAAATTATGGTTAAGCATAAAAATTGATTGGCTTAAGCTGTCGTCAAGCCAATTCAATTACATAAAGACAGGAGATTTGACTTGGACAGTGTTTGATTTTTTGGAATATTTCACTCAAAGTAAATAAACTTCCTTAAATATAGAAAGCTTTAAACATAATGAAAATTACTTTAGATCAGTTAAATATTACAAGCAATTTAACATTTACAAACCTAAATCCCGTTCCTCTTCTTCTCCTAGCATGAAATGCAGGGTCTTTCAATGATATTAATCTTGCCCCTGGTAGTTCTGGGGCAACAATCAGACTTCCTTGGATCTTAGTTCCTGGGACGACCACTCCCGAAGCTCCCTGTCCCTGGATGTCAAACTCCTTCAGGAGGTAGCCTTCGCCATCCCCATGAACACTCACTGGAACACCTGGGATCACTAGGAGTACGGGGTCGGTCTCACCCACGTGGTCGGGAATATGATGAGGCAGAGGCATTACAGTTGCCAAAACAGCAAAGAGAAAAACGAGAACCTGCAATCAATGGTTTAGGCACTAAAGGCTAACAGGGTGGCTGAAAAATAACTTGCACCCCCCTCCATTAAAGTTTTTAACCGTTTTAGAAATGTAAAACCAGTTTTTAGCAACCTTCTTAGATGTGAGGAGCTACAGTTATTATGGTAATTTTTAAAATCTTACCCTTAGGGGTAGTGAGTAGCTCAATATTTTCAAATGAGAAGTATTTTCGACTCTCAAATCAATCATTTTATAGGCCTTGTTGAAAATAAATAATCTTCACAAAGACAATAAAAGTCGGACCACTTATAACATACTTGCAGCTGAAAATTAATAACTTATTATTACAAAGGTTGATTAGATTTAAATCATTTTAGAGTGCCATTTTGTCCTTAGTGGTTATTTATTCATGTCAATTGCTTAGTTTCGTCAAGATTTGTAAAATTATATGAAAGTATACTATACTTCCCATTTGACAATTTTGAGCTACCCCCTACTCCTACTGCCTATTTTTTTATTTGCCATCATTATTGTAGCCCCTTATAACTAGGAAGGTTGTCACAAGCCAACTTCAAATATATCAAATAGTAAAAAAAAATTAAGAAGGGGGAAAATTACTTTTCAGCCACCCTGTATAAACATTCCAGGTAATGATGACAAGTTAGGACAATATAAGTCATGAAGTACACATATAAGTATATTTATTGAAATAAATAAATAAATAAATAAAAATAAAAACGTCTTTATTAGCCAGCGTTTCTCTGATACATGTCAGTTTTTCAGAACAACTTTTGTCGTTAACCTATTGCACTATAAACATTCATATCTTTTAAAAACTTTTTAATCTTAATCTTAAAGCTATTGTTGGATGCAACGGTTTTTAGGCTCTCGGGTAGTCCGTTGTACAATGTGGGTCCGAAATATGAGAAACTTTTCTTTCCCAATTCCAAGGTGACCATTGGAAAGTGAAGCCTCCCACCATGACGTGTCCTACGTTGTATGACCTCATCCCGGACAGAAAGCCTCTCCCAAAGATAGTCGGGCTCACGGAGAGTCAGTACCCTGTGAGTCATGCAGCACGTCAAAAACCTGCACATGGCTTCCATGGGCAACATCCTGCTGCTTCACGGAAAGGGGAAACATGATCAAATTTTTTAAGGCAGAATACAAATCTGATTGCTGAGTTTTGAATTCGCTGTATTCTGCACATGTCTTCCTTAGTGATACTGTTGCCATATGCAGGGAAGCAGTAGTAGACTACTGACAATATCAGTGACTGCATGAGTTGAAGCTTTGCAGCCTCAGGCTGCATACCTCTGAACCTGTACAGACCTCTCAGTCTTCCTATTGCTCGTTGGGAGACATGCGTGATGTGATCTCTGAAATTCAAATTTCTGTCAATAATGACGCCAAGAGTTTTGGCTTTGTCACGGACTGCCAGACTCCTGCAATCAAGATTGATGCTCAAGCCATTATCTCTTAGTGTCTGTACTAGGTTCACAGGGGCAGTATGATATGAAGTACAGTGCACTTGTCTGGATTTAGCCTAAGCCCATTAATGCTAGACCATTTGGAGATGTTCTCCAGATCAGTGTTGATCTTGTCGATGGCCTCACTCATGTAACCAGGCTCATAAGACAAGTGCAACTGGGAATCATCTGCATACAAGTGTGCAGTATACAATGTTTTACACAGCTGGGAAAGTCAGCTGTGTAAAGCGTGTAAAGTACAGGCCCCAAACAACTACCTTGAGGAACGCCCCGTTTTTTGACGAGGGGATACGATGTTTCACTACCCAATCTGGTAACCTGCATTTGGTCGATAAGGTAAGAGCGAATCCAGGTAGTGATTCTATCACTAAAACCCATATATTTCATTTTTGCAATCAGCATACTGTACTATGGTCCATAGAATCAAATGCTTTGGAGTAATCAAGCATGACAAGTGAGCTGTGTTTCCCTTTGTCCTTGGCATCAATCATGTCACAGAATAAATTGGTCAAAGCTGTACATGTGCTGTGGTTTTTTCTAAAACCGGACTGTAGTTTAGGTAGCAGCCTATTGTCATTCATAAATTGGGATATCTGGTCAATCACTATTTTCTCTAATATTTTAGATATTGCTGGAAGTATTGATATTGGTCTAAGATCTTCTACCTTAGTTGGTGCAGCTGTTTTTGGCAATTGCCTGATAATACTTTGCTTCCAAGCATTCGGGAATACTCCACTGATGAGTGACTCATTTACAAGATGTGTGATTGCTTCAATAGCAAACGGACTCACAGCTTTTAACATGTCTGTTGATATTTCATCACTGCCTACAGCTTTAGACTTTATTTGATTCATCACTAGTTTTACAGTTGCTTCGGTGACAGCACTAAATCGACATTCGTTTCTTGTTTCATCTTGTTTATTAGTCATATAAAATTTAATAATTTCTTCATCAGCCTTGATACCAGACCCCATTTTTGTAAAATATTCATATAATGTCATTGGCTTCAAAACCGTCAATAGTTTCTATACAATTGTTCTTATAAACTTCGCAATTCTTTATACATTTCCAGAAATCTTTGCTGTTGTTTGTTGTCGACAGTTTGTTGGTAAAAAACCCTTTTTTCGCATGCCAGACCATTGAATTCAATCTGTTTCTTATTTCCTTATACTTATGCCAATCAGGATCACTTCTGGACTTCCAATATCTATTCCTTAATTTATTTTTTCCCCTAGTCAATTTCTTAATTATATCATTTCTCCACGGAGCTACTTTCTTGGTTACCCTTTTACACACTATAGGTGCGTGGTTATCATATACTTTTCTAATTTCATTGGTCAACGCATTTTCAATATTATTTACTCCTTGTAATATCGTTATCTTTTTCCAATCTATTTCAGAAAGTTCTCTTACCGCTTGGTCAACATTGAATTTTGAAAAATCCCTATATCTGATCATCTTTGGTTTCTTTTGTTCTTTTCTTAGGATCAATTCACAAAAAATAAGCTTGTGGTCCGTAATTGACTTCCCTCTGTGATCTAATATGCTAGGTGCATTTATAACGCCGATCCTCTTGACTTCAACCGACCTGTCCACGAATATGTGGTCTAACAAGGTGGCTGAAGTTGCTGTCACCCTCGTAGGCTCGTTTATTAACTGGATTAACTGGATTATATTTCTCGATAGTGTAGTGGTAGTTCACCTTGTGAGGTCATTACATGAAAAGGGACTTTATTGTAGAGGCAAAGTTAGGAATTGCAAGTCCTGACATCCACTTAACCTCGACAATAATATAAACTAGGCAATTAACTATAATAAAAATAATAACACTCTACAAACATAAACTCAATGAGATAAAAATTTACCAATCATAGCACAAGTTATGAAAAATATGATAGTACAGTTTAAATAACAAGTGTATCTCAATGGCTTATTATTTATCATCTTGCTATTAGCATTTACTCTTCAATTACAACATATTAACATTTCAACTGCGTAGACTAGAAAACAGCTACAATATATTTTTCGGTGAACTCACGTAATTACCAAAAAAATTACTTTTTTCACAGGACTTTACTAGACGTTTGTGTATTACTTTTACCTGAATCACAGCATAACCATCCCTTGTAATTAGAAACAAGAAGAATCAAACTTATCTGCATGTTCAAAAATACCTTAATTGAGGTTTGAAAATAGAGTTGTAATCAATTTAAATTAATTGATTGAATAGTGATTAAAAACGTAAAATCTTTTATTTAATGTTTTTTATGTTTAGAAACTAACTATTTTAAGAAAATATTCAATTCCTAATTATATTTTTCATCAAACTCTAGCAACAACTTACCTTCATGTTGACTCTGTGGTAGAGACACGACAGAAAATGTCTTCCTCGTAAAAGTCACGAGATCTACAAAATAGACTACAATCTGGTTCGTCAATATTTTCCACCATGTATTATTTATTCTCTCCCCTATCTAAGCTTGTTGTTCGCTCTAATGGTGATATAATCGTCCAGTTATCTAATTTAAGAAAGCTTTTTGTAAATGGCAGATGTTATACAATAGATTATAATATGGATGTAATAAAGAGTGTTCTGTAACTGTCAAACTAAAAGTGTCAACCTAATTTTAAAAAGTTAATTGTTATACATAAACTGTAACAGATACTATTATAATCATACTTGTTTTTAAAAAACAGAGTAAATAGTAATAAATCATTGTAAAAGCTCACTTTTCTCTTTTCTTTCCTAAAGAATTGTATTCATATATCAGACTAGCTATTTGGTTGTGGAAAGTGCGGTTAAAAGATATTATTGCAATTTTTTATATAAAAATTAAGATAAGAATATATTTATTTCCAAAATTACAAATCAGAGATTGCGATCTTGGCTTAAAACAAATGTAAAACGACAAAAATCCCCACAAAGACTGTACATCTGCGTGTGGGGAGAGTCTTCTTTGTCGCTCACCACTTCACGGACAAAATAACAAGATAAACAAATAATTAAAATAAAAAGAAGTTGAAAGATCTTTTTTTCCTACAGTTACTTAACAATGTACATGTTCTCTCACTGATTTGAGAAAGCAAAGTGGCCAATTCGCTCACCAGTGAGACATTGTCTCACTCAAGATTTGCAACGCGAAGGCACGAAATAGTGAGCGCGTAACATGCAGACAAGATCGTATGCGCGCGAAATACGTTGGCAGCACTGGCTGTAAATCAGCTGGTCAGCTGTTGTACTGTTGTATCATTAAATGTCATATTAAAAGTTCATTTCTGTGTAAAAATATGTTACGTTTCTTTACCAATTTATTTGTTTTATGGTATCTGTAGGAAAAATATAATGTGCAACTCGTGTGCAAAGTGCAATTGCTCACTAGTTGCACAAATAACTATTGCCTTACCAATGTCGCACAAGATATCAGGAAAGTTCCCAGTGCGTATATCTGTATTTATTAAGTGCTGAATTGGAATATGCATATACCATGTCGT